TGTACTTATATATTTTATAAAGGGCAATATTATATTTTTTGTATTGAAATTGTATACATAGAGACGCTATTGAATTTTGTTTTTTTATTGCACGATATTATATAATGTAAAATGAAAATTGTTATTAATACAACACGATTATGTACGAGTTATGAATTATTATTATTATCTATTATATATAACAGTTACAAACATAATTTTTAAGAGCATTTATTTCGATTATTACGTAAATAAATGAATTTTACATATTCATTAAATATTATGTAGTTTTTTTTTTACTCCTAAACACAAAAAAAACTAAATTATTAACGGTTTTTTATGGCCTAAGCCAGTAAATGAACAGATGGACCACCTGATGGTAAGCAATCGGCGTCGCCCATGGACACACGGAACATCAGAGGCGTTGCAAGTGTGTTACCAGCTTTTTGGGGATTAGGAGTTGGAGGATTGTTGGCATCCAGGGATTGGGGAGATTGGGAAAGGGGAGGGTAATTGAGCCTCCGGTAACCTCACTCACACGATGAAACACAACGCAAGCGTTGTTTCACGTCAATTTCTGCTCGGCCGTGGTATCACTCCGGTCGAGCCGGCCCATTCGTGCCGAAGCATGGCTTTCCGACACTTAAGTCATGTAGCTTGCCCCCGTTTGTTGGTTTGGGTCAAACTTAGTAATTGATATTTTACCTTCTTCCTGACGACAGATCGATCTAATATTTGGTACACACTCTTAATCTTGATGACCATACGATAATATGTAATTTGTTCCACAACCACCTCCATTATGGATATCAAACGAAAGGATTTGATTGGTAGAATAGAGCTTATTGAAACCGTTTAAGGGCGCGTACAGACCAACGACACTCGATCGACGACGAGCGCTGTGACGTAGTCGCCTTGCTAACGACCGTGGACGATGACGTCGTCGCTTAGCGGCAGCGACGTCGTCCAGTTGTGTCATTACAGTAAGTCCGTGCAGTCGGCAACAAATAGCCTAGAATACGCACGTAAATTACGAGTAAAATAAGTGAAGACGAAATTCGAGATTTCGAGACTTCCGAGACTATATCACAACTACTATTTATGTGACTAATACACACTCCACAACTAGGCGACTATGTCCCCGCCGCTTAGCTACGACGTCGTCGTCCACGATCGTCAGCAAGGCGACTACGCCGCAGCGCTCGTCGTCGATCAAGTGTCGTTGGTCTGTATGCACCCAAACACAAAAATATTATTTTTGTATTCATCATCAGCAGCCCGTTCTCGTCCACTGCTGTGAGCTCGATCTACAGCGCTAAGCATCCAACCACTGCCAGCCACCTTGTGGATGTCGTCACTCCACCTAGCGGGAGGGCGCCCTACACTGCGTTTGCCTAGACGCGGTCTCCACTCTAGAACACGTCTACCCCAACGGTTATCGGTTCTTCGACAAATATGACCGACCCGCCACAGCTTGCTAATCCTTTGAGCTACGCCGGTAACTTTAGTTCACTATCGGATCACCTCGTTACGGATCCTATCCTTCAGAGAAAGTCTGAGCTCCCTAGAGAGACACTCCCTCCCGCCGCACCCAGGCGGGAGCAGTCATTCGATGATTTCCCTCCTTTAAAAAAGTCGTGATACCTCTACTGTTGGAAGTCTACTTAGACTAGAGAGTCTGCTTCCCACCAGACTAACAATAAGTTTTCTTGCTACCTTATAGTAGGTAGTACGATATAATAAGAATATTCCTCACCAGAATCTGTGTTTCCAGAAGGAAGTACAGCACATTCGATCAAAAGTCAGACCAATACAAGCTTCAATTCCCCAGGGAAGCGTTATAGGATGCCTACTTTTCCTAATCTATATTAACAACCTCCCCAAAACCATAGAAGGGCCGTGTGTCCTATTTGCAGACGATGTTTCAATACTCACCTCATGCCGATCGACTGATCATATCAACGAAAAACTCAACAACATTCTTAGTAATGTAACTAATTGGATGACACAACATAATCTCGAAATAAATTTTACAAAGACCAAATTAATAAACTTTCACCCTTACCAAAAAACCCAAATGAACATTAATTTTAAATATAACCAAGTGGAACTAGAAACAGTTAATGAATTCATTCTTTTAGGCTTGACAATAGACACAAACATAAACTGGAAATCTCATATTCTCAAATTAAAGTCAAAAATCGCAAAGTTCTCATATGCCCTACATGAAATTAAAAAGACAACTGTTTTACAAACTGCAATAGTTATATATTATGCGTATGCTCACACTTGGTTCACTTATGGTATCATTTTGTGGGGAAACAGTACCGATGCCCATTCATTGTTTATTTTACAAAAAAAACTAATCCGCATCATAGCCAACATAGAACAAACCAATAGTTGCAAACCTTATTTCACAAAACATAATATTCTCACCGTAATAAATATATACATTTTCGAATTGTGCAAGCTGGTTCGTAAATATCCAGATTGTTATAAAAAAAAGAGGAGACATACAATCAAGCCACTCGCTCCGACATAAAAACAGATTGGACTTGCCTCGCTCTAACCTTAAGATGCACTCCTCTAGCCCCTACGTTATGTCGATAAAAATGTATAACAAATTACCAGAATACTTAAAAGAAATAGAAAAGACCAATGTATTTATGAGAAAATTAAAACAATATTTGATTAAAAAATGTTATTACATCTTAGACGAATTTCTAAATGATAAATTGACTACATAATTGACTGATTTGACAAGCTAGTGTAAGCTAAAAAGTAAATAACTTAATATAATCTAACGAAACGCCCTTCCTCTCTCCTACCAACTTTAAATGTTGCTGTGCCCGACAGGGTCCATAATTGTTACTATTTGTATTTTTCTAACCACCTGTATGTGTACATTATGGATGCAATAAATATTTGATTGATTGAATGTCTTCTAGTCCGACGTAGGCCACATCATTGCTTACGATCAGGTGAGATAGTGGTCAAATGCCGATCAATAAAAATAAGTAATACAAAAAACTCCGAGCATAACCCTCTCCATAGCTCACTGCGCCACCTTAAATTGGTGGACCAATCGCACTGTCAGTATCCACGTCTCGGTGCCGTATGTCATTACCGTTCAAGACGTTTATCCACACATCAGCGCCATCTGTTGAGCAACAATACAGTAGTCCCCATGAAACAGTGGGTTGGTCATCGGGACATCTCATTATTATTTAATATTTTCCTTAATAAAAAATAAATTATTTCGACTGTTCAATACAGTTAAATATTAAAAAATAATCACACTTTCATTAATTTATTTTATAACCAACTTAATTTTAGTAATTTTCCAGCATTTTTTCAAGAAATAATTATGCTGTTTGACGCTAAAAATCGTGACGTCACAATACACAATCTCGTACAAAATTCATAGAAAACTGTCGTTTATGACAGTTCGAAAAAATAAGTATTGAATTCGACTAGTTGGCAAGTACACGATTGTAATGTTTTTCTAGGATTTAGAAAAAATAAGATAATAATATTGGAGATTCAAGCATTTTATTTCTAAACACACATATTCAATTACATTCAGATCTTAAAAATACAATACACAATAACTTTATGTTCTTAAAACGAAATAATAAAGACAAACTACTTATCAAACATCATTACTTTATTTTTTCTTTTTTAAAACGTTACACTACACATCGAGCTTTATTTAACCAGTATAAACTGAACGTTAAATGTGCGGAAAGGTGATGCAACGCGACACCAGGATACACTGGTTTTGTATAGATTGATGTGTGGCCGTGAGTACAAGGTGATCACCTAAAATGTTTTTTTAATTATTGCAATGTGACTAGACCCTAAGTAGGCGTTTCTTAATGTAAGAAAAAGGAGAAAAACCGTGAAAGCGGCTTTATAAAAAATAGGGTAGATGACTGATTTTTATTTCAATGCCCGTCTGGTAGATTATTTTAAAACATTACACACGTATTTTTTATTTTCTTACAGAAACGAATACTTTCGACGATATATTGATTTGAAATGTCGCGTGACGTCACTTCTATGTACGTTTTATACGTAGATAGAAATGACGTAGCTAGCTCCCATTCCTTACATTTGATTTGTTTTATCTAATCATTGTTTTGTTATACGACAAAATAAAAAAATACGTGACTAATTTTTAACTATAGAATAAAATTGACGTTTGACAGTTTTTAGAATGGACAATTCTCAAATGTACAAAATTATTCGTCAGAATTTATCTGGCGTCGGATAAATCGACCCTTGTATTTTTTAATTGCCTTACCGACGGACTAATTAGATTTTTACTTTTCATACCCCGTCATCATCCCTATTGTAGAAAAAATAACAGAAGTTAATTTTCGTTAAAAAGACGAAGATTACTTACTTGGATTTCTTTAAAAAATACTATAAAATCAACCTTCATCCAATCAAACCAAGGATACACTAGGAGACAAAAAAGTTCCACAACATGATTGTTTCGGCGACATGTCGACCGACGCCTGACGATTTCGCCCGACATATTACTATAAGGAAGCGAAAGACGTCCATATTCTATGCCCACACTCATGTGAGACAGGCGTGAAGTTATGTATAATATTACTATACGGCGACAACGTGCGCTTTACGTCCATAGCGACGTTGATATTGCTAGACATGTCGACCAGCAACGTCGCGCTACTTCACCCGACGTCGCCGGCGACACGTGTCGCAGGAAATTTTGTCACCTAGTGTATCTTGTATCTCGAAACACGGAGGTGCACGAATATCTGCAGATTCCGACAGTCAAGGAAGAAATAAAGAGTTCATCTGTGTCTTACAAACAACGCCTTGGGCGACACATTAACCATCTGGCTTCACAGCTCATAGACTCAGACAACTGCTTATCTCGACTGAAAAGAAAGCAACTAGAGTCTACATAAACCCATTTTTAGGGAAAAAAGAAATAGAGTTAGCATGTCACGGGATGTGCAACTCTCGAAAGTCCCAAAAGCACGTCATCTCATCTGATTAAAGCCGTATTGGCTGATTGTAGATCTGAGGAGAAAAAAAAACCTAGTGTATCTGTGGTTTTAATATTTACATATGTCGAATAATTACGAATATTTGTTCGATATCATTAGTTGTGACGTCATTATAATTTAAACCTACGTCAAATTATAACATATACAGGTATCTACTTGAAGATATACATACGTTATCTGTTTTTAAAATGTCTAGATCTAAAACGATTACGTATACTTAATCATATTCGGTTACATTTATAAAATACGGATAAAACATCATTATTAATGAAATTGCCGCACGTTGGCAGCACTGTGCTAATTTTCTTATGTCTCATCGGGACACCTGATGTTAGCAATCTGCACCGCTTAGAGACGCGCAACACTAGAGGCGTCTTATTAATAAGTGTGTTGCCTTTTCGAGGATTTAAGGATCGGGTATAGAGGGAGGATTGGATCTCAGGGACCTGGGAAGGGGAATAAATGGGTCACGTCACACGCTGACAAGCAAGCGTTGTTTCACGGTGTAATGTGAGGTCGTGGTATTACTTCGGGGGAGCCGACCCTGCAGTTTCGGCGCAAGGCTCTCCATCATGTTGCGAGTCAGCATTCTTGACCTCTTCTTTCATATTTCCAGTCGATACTGGATCTGTAAAGAAAGATAGAGTACACGCTGTAGTTAATGTCGTAAGCTGTTATGTCCTAAATGTGAAAATCAATAAATAAATAGTTTAAAGGCAAATTTTATAAGTAAATGGCTGCCTCATAAGATTTGTAGCGGGTTCGATCTCAGAGCAACTTTTTGTGCGATCCACAAATTGTTGTTTCGGGTCTGTGTGTCATGTGTATGTGAACTTGTATGTTTGTAAACATACCAACGACAGAGGAAAAAATAATAGTGCTGGGCAACGTTATTTTTTAAAAGAAAATAAAACTTTAATTGCACTTAATATACATATACATATGTACATAGATTATTTTTTAAACTTTGCCCACACTAGGCCTTTCTCCGACCTAACGGGTAACCGGGGCTCCGGCTCGAAGTGCAGGAGAAGGAACGGGGTGGTTTTTAGTCAGTAACAGTCTGACACTCCCTCCCGCCTCACCCAGGCGGGAGCAGTCATTCGATGATTTTCCCCCCTTAAAAAAAATAAAAAGGCCTTTCTCCGACGATTGACGGACATTGGCTCGAACATAGACTTTTACATGACAAGAAACTTTTAGAGGGAAAACATGGTGTCGTGGCTTAGAGCCGCAAAGGATTTTGCGACACATTCACATATACGCGTCGTTGGTCGGGGCCTCGGGGCGCTCTCTCTCTATTCACACATCCTGCGCAGGCGCGCGGGGTTGCGGACGGCGGGAAGGGATAGTCGCGATCGCGATCGATTCCAATAATAGAGAATAAAACCATAGGTTGTGTTTATTTTTAAAACCCGCGTTACAGTAATAGTTTAATTTGCAAGCGGTTCGCGAGCTGCGCATTCGCTTAATCTTATACTATTACTAGCTTTTACCCCCGGCTTCGCTCGCGTCACAAAAGGATAAAAAGTAACCTATGTGACATATACCAATACACACAGCGCCATCTATACCAATACTTTTGTTTTCCCTCGGGAATATCACATTTTTCCGGGATAAAAAGTACCCTTTTATTTAATCCGGACTTCTAACTGTACGTCTGTAAAAATAATCAAAGCAATCGGTTTAGTAGTTCTGGCGTGAAAGGGAAACAAACAAACAAACGCACTTTCCGATTTATAATATTAGTAAGGATAAGGATATAAAGCGGAAGAGTTTGTTTTTGTTGTTTCCGTAATTACAAGTCTGATTTGAATAATTCTTTTTGTGTTGGATAGTACATTTATCGAGTATGGCTATAGGCTATAAAACATCACGTTACGACCAATAGGAGCTGAGCAGAGCGTGTGAAACCGCGCGGAAGTAGCTAGTATAATTATATATTGACTACTTTTTGCGACCAGCTTCATCCGCATTCCCATGGGACAAAAGTTGCCTGTTATTCTAGACTATAACCTATCCCTGTTCCAAATTTTATCCTGATCCGTTCAGCCATTTTGACGTAATTGAGACACAATCATACACACAAATTGACAGACTTTCGCATAGATAAAGTGTAATATTAGAAACATGAGATACCTACACAAAAATACCGCTCTTATTATTATTATTAATAATATCTTATTATTAATTAGCACGCTATAAAGTAAACTTATTTTAATTATCACCATCAGCGTAGAAATGGCCACTGCTAAGCAATAGCCTCTTCTCACACGGAGAAGGTTTGAGCATTAACCACCACGCTTGCTCAATGCGGGTTGGCGATTTCAAATTAAAACTGTCAAACACCGCGAGGCCACCGGTGACTGCAACCTATTGTTCTTTAATTGTGTCTATAATGACGGTACTCAAAGGGTTAATATTATAAATTATAAGCCCAGGTTTCCTCACGACGTTTTCCTTTATCGTATACATAATCTTAAATTTAAATTACAACTGAATGAAATGGCTTACCACTCTCTTCAGCAGCAGGAGCTGCAGGAGCATCAGGAGCTGCAGTAGCATCAGAAGCTGCAGGAGCACCAGGAACAGCAGAAGTTGTTGGAGCATCAGTATCATCAGGAGCTGCAGGAGCATCAGGAACAAGAGGAGTTGCTGGAGCATCAGTATCATCAGGACTTGCTGGAGCAGCAAGATCAGCAGGAGCTGCAGGATCAGCAGGAGCTGCAGGATCAGCAGGAGCTGCAGGATCAGCAGGAGCTGCAGGATCAGCAGGAGCTGCTGGAGCAGCAAGAGCAGCAGGATCATCAGGAATAGCAAGAGCTATAGGATCAGCAGCAACCTCAATTGATCCCGCATTGGCAGACTCTTCGCCTTTGCGCCTCTCCTTGTCTTGTTTACTTTTATTGGAATGGTGGCCTTCGTTATTGGTCCCATCTTTTGATTTTTTAGCTTCCGGACCAGTGACTGGAGCAGGTATCAGACGTTTTCTTCTCTCGACAATCTGCTCAGCCAATGGCGTGTGGCGGAATGACGACAGGTGTTCAGCTTGTCCACACATGAGGCACCTTTCATCGGGTTTAGGCGAGGATGTATTTTTTGGTAAAGAGAACATGCCCCTTAGTTCTTTATCCATTTTAATTCGTGTGTCAATGATTTTAAACATTGCTACTTTCGAGACGCGAGCATCGAATTTAGCCATATGAGACAGCACTATGGCGATTATGATCTCCTCTTTGGTTAAATTCTCCCATTTGGACATCAGCATCGCTGTAAGATTCTGAGCGTAAGAAGTCAGACACTGATTATCCTCAATTTTACAGTCCAGCAAATGAATTAAATAGCTCGCTGGAGTGATATGACCATCATTTGATTCACAATATTTATTGAAAAATTTTAATTTAAATCTATTCCATGTCATACCAGAAGTGGCGATCGAGGAGAACCATGTAGAAGCTGTTCCTTCGAGAGCGTGGCTCAGAGCTATCAATAGCAACACGCCAGTTTCATGTTCCTCAGTTACGCATGCATCAGCGGCTGCCAACCAGGCTCGAGGATCCGCGTGTCTTGAGTCAGGGTTGAAGGTAGGGAGACGCAAGCTCACAGTTGGTAGGCGCATCACGTCGATTACAGATGAAATTGAATTATTTTGTTCCATTATCAACGAATTCCGTTTATCTGTCTCAGAGTTATTATCCCCAGTAGTAGACGAACATACTTCAGTAGCATTCGCTTGTTGGTTTATGGTTAGCGATCTGTTATCGTTCGAAAAGTTGTAAGTTATCTTTATAGTGGAGGCGTTAGCAGGATCGTCGCGAGGTGCTTGTAATTGTGGGAAATGCACTTCGAAAGACATGTTAGGTTAACACTCATATATTTGATTAAATCACCATAAAATTAAACAAGATAAAAATCGATTTGTGCGCGGAACACGACTGCGTCAGACGCAGCGGGTGTCGGGCGCGTCACTGCCTACAGCGCAGCGGCAGACAATTGCACTAACGTTCGCTCCCGACGTGTCCTGCCAAATAAAATGTATCAAATTTAAAAGGGTGCTCTCGTAAAGAAATCAAAATGAAAAAGTGTCTATCATGACTTGCGTTAATAAAGGGTCACTAATATACCAATAATAATGAACTCATTTTAAACAGAGTATTTTAAGTTACTTTTAAAGACTATACTACTAAATTAAAATGCTTACTGAGCAAAGAACAACACATTATACCCCTCCACGAATAACCGGCATCATTATTCCTAATTCTGACATTGACATCAGTCAATTTAGTTCATTTTATTACAAAAATGTCATAAGAGGGCAGCATTGTGCTCCTACTGAGTATAACAAAAATAATTCTTGGTCATCATGGCTTTGTATCATTATATTTGTTACTTACACTCGCATTGCATTACTTCACCGTCTTATATTTAAACATAGGAATCTTACTATAAGAACAAACAAACATATTTTCACATTTGTGATGTTAGTAAGGAAAATATAACAAAGTGTAAACAAGTAATATATTACACATCGAAATATTGATCGGGTCACAGGACCTGCGCAGTGCAGACAGAACATTCTAGAACTAAAGTTGTGCACTCAATGCGACGCCTGCAGAAGGTCCACGTCAGTTAAGACCTTATAATGAAATAGCTTCTGCCAACGGCTTCGTCCGCGGTTTCAGTGAGATAGTCAGTAGTTTATGTGTTATTCCAAATCATAATCTACCGATGTTCCAAATTCATTACGATCGTAATCATTACGAACATCGGCACCGACTTCTAACCTATCAGTGGGTGTGTAAGCTATAAGTACGTATGACCAATAATAGTTATTTTGTTCCTTTTTAGTTTTCACTTTTCGTTAGTCATTTGTTTTTGAAGTCGGTTTTTTTAAGCGCAGTTTTTTAATTTTTTATTGTTGCTATACTTTTAAAATCCTTTGTCTCTCTCATTACGAAACCCAAACTTCTGTAAGCTTTAGAGCAATCCTTCGCGATACCCTGAATGACAAATCCTTGGTCATAAGCACTCCCAAATCCCGGACCGATTCAACACGAGGCATGACACTGTCTTCCATGTGATATCGATGATGCTCCGGAGACATTATAAATTTGTAATATATAAATATAACTGACTAACTACTACTAATATAAATATAATACATTAGGATGTTGACGCTTCTTATCTACTAGGCAACAATTGGCGTGCCGCACATGACAATGACAGTCAACGTGTTCGACAATGACAGCGTTGCAAAACACCGTGCGTCATTGCTAGATGGCGCTTTATATGCCACGTTAAATCGAGCGCTTACTTCGCTAGCGCTAGGATATATATCTAATCGATATTTTGATGGGTGAAACCAGCCTTAGGTGAGGCGGGAGGAAGTGTCAGACTCTTACTGACTAAAAACCACCCCGTTTTTATGGGTTAAGCCGGTAAACGAGCAGACAGATCATCTGATGGTAAGCAATCGGCATCGCCCATGGACACCTGGAACACCAGAGGCACTACAAGTGCGTTACCGGCCTTTTGGGATTAGAAATTGGAGGATTGATGGAAATTCAGGGATAGGGGCAAGGGGATGATTGGGCCTCCGGATCCCACTTCGGACCCCATTCCTATTCCTGCCTGAAGCGCTAAAATTGTGACAACTCCATTAATTGAACCTTCTGAATCTCTCGTTTAAATGCGAATAGTATATCAATCACTGCATATAGATATATCACACACGCAAGTACTAATTGTGACCTGCGCAGTGCAGACAGAACATTCTAGAACGAGGTGAGTGCACTCAATGAGATGATTGCAGAAAGTCCACATCGCTCAGTGCGCGAAATTTTTACATAAAATAACATCACGCCTTTTATTCTCGAAGAGGTAGGCAGAGTTGCACATTACGGCAATTAATGCCACTGTACAATGTAACACCCACTTTTAAATATTTATGTTATGAGTCCCATGTAATAAGAGGTGAGCCTATTGCCATATACCGAGCACAATTCCAGACTCCGTGCTACTACAGATATTTTTTTTAAAACCCAGTAATACTTTGCCCGACCCGGGAATCGAACAGTATAGTCGACAACACTGTTTTGGAGACTCGGTTGCCAAAGAAGAAAAAAAAAGTGTAGTTTCAAATGGAGAAGAACGAGCCAGACACTCTATAAATTCTAGTCCACCATAAACACTGCATAAACTCCTTATGTCCTGTAGAAGATAGTATTCATTAAAGTACCTCTATATTAATTTTTTTTTATCGCATAAGCCGGTAAACGAGCAGACGGATCACCTGATGGTAAGCAATCGGCGTCGCCCATGGACACCTGGAACACCAGAGGCGTTTGAGGATCGTTGAGGATTCAGGGATTGGGGAGATTGAGGAAGGGGAGGTTAATTGGGCCTCCGGTAACCTCACTCACACGACGAAACACAACGCAACGTTGCTTCACGTCGGTTTTCTGTTAGGCCGTGGTATCACTCCGGTCGAGCCGGCCCATTCGTGCCGAAGCATGGCTGATGTGATCCCTCTGCATCAAATCTGCATTGTATTGCATTCGCACAAAGAGGGTTGAAGGGATGTACATTGTAACTTAGGGTCACACAGTTCACGCCATATAATTTCATAAAGGGATAGGCAGCGAGCTTAGTAAATTGAGACTAAGTAGTGGTATATATTAACTAGTTATTAAGTACCTAAATTGTCTATTTAGTTTATTTGTAATGTATACATAGTATTTAAATATTTTAATGTATTAGTTTATAGTATTCGATATGGTTAGGTTCACCCCCTATTACATGGGACTCATAACATAAATAGTGAAAAGTGAGTGTTATATTGTACAGTGGCATAATGTGCACCTCTGCCTACCCCTTCGGGGATAAAATGTTATGTTATGTTATTCGATATGGGCCTATGATGCCTGAAATGCGGAGCGCTGCCTCCTCGCAACCCAGCCATCGCGAAGGGCACACCGGGCGTCGGGGATCGCGAGACGATCTCCGGCCACCGTAAGCGCGGGCCTGCGGACGGCGAGCAGGGGTGGCTCCCCGTCCGACCAGAAACAGACCCGAGCGTACGGCGCGTCGCGTTCCGCGCGCGCCTCAAAGAGCCATCAGACCACAGATGGGGCCCAATAGGGCCGATGCCGATTCGGAGTCGCGGAGAACCTAACGGGTAACCGGGGCTCCGGCTCGACGTGCAGGAGAAGGAACGGGGTGGTTATTAGTCAGTAAGAGTCTGACACTCCCTTCCGCCTCACCCAGGCGGGAGCAGTCATTCGATGATTTTCCCCCCTTAAAAAAAAAATGATGCCTGAAATAAATGGATAAATAAAAAAATTTAAAAAAAATTAAGTGCGCAGCGTTGCCAATTAGTTAGTCTACTCCTTCTCAGAAGTAACGCTAATTTAATAAATTACAATTACGATACAGTCTTCTGCCGTGCGTGACGGTCTCATCAAGCTGTTGTGGTTCTTTCCTCAAAAGGCCACTACAGAATGTACTTGCACGGTTCACACACATAATCTTTTATCCTTACTAATATTGGAAAGTGAGTTTGTTTGTTTGTTCTGCTTTCACGCCGTAACTACTAAACCGATTGCTTTGAATTCATTGAAAAGTTATAAGTCTGGATTAAATAATAGGGTACTTTTTATCCCGGAAAAAATTGATATTCCCGAGGGAAAAACAAAAGTATTGGTATAGATGGCGCTGTGTGTATTGGTATATGTCACATAGGCTACTTTTTACCCTTTTGTGACGCGAGCGAAGCCGCGGGTAAAAGCTAGTATACGTATAAAAGAGAGTCTGGAGTTTAAAAGAGACAATGCTCTCTGAATTTGTTTCGGCATTTCTTCTCAGAGCAGTCAGTTAGGAAATGTCGACCTCATCGTTCGCTTGATAAAATTGACGTGTAAAAGTGCTTCCTTGTAGCCCATTTGCAGAAATAAATTCACTTGTTTCTCTTTTTGTTTCACTTGATACGGAAGTTGTATAGCTAAGTTTTATTAGGATTGTCGAGGTGGCCTGGAAGTTTAAGACGCCCACTTCTCATGCATAAGAGTGCATATTCGAAACTTACCAACGGCAAGTACCAATGCGACTCTTTCCGAGTTATATGTACTTTCTAAGATTATCTAGACACCACTGAGAAACGGTGAAGGAAAACATCGTGAGGAAACCTGGACTTATAATTTCTAATTATAACTTTGAAATCGCCATTTCGCATTGAGCAAGCGTGGTGATTAATGCTCAAACTTTCTCCGTGTGAGAAGAGGCTTTGCTCAGCAGTGGACACTTATAGGCTGTTGATGAGGATGAAGATTCGGATTAGAGTCTACGAAAATAGCGTAGCGTGTCTTGACGGGGCCCCGTGTGAAGATATGTCCGAGGGCCCGCAAAGTAAAGATTTCTCACAAGAGAAAAAAATATATACATACATACTAAAAACTTTG